GAGTTAGAATGGAATTGATATTAAATATTTTCTGAAAAGAAGTTCCTAATCCAGACTTATATTTTTTGATTGATGCCCCAATAGCATAACGGTCTAATTATTTAATTATTTTTCATTTTTAAGTAACTTTGAAACAGTGGCATTTAAGGATCTAATTTTATGCTCCTAATAATATAGAACTCATTCAAATCGAAATCGAAATTTGAAATCAATTAATTATCCAAGCTTTGAAAAGCAAATAAAGACTCACAGCTACAAAAGTAATAGTGCTATTCATAAATAATAATCTAACCAGGGAAACCTTGGAGAATCAGTAGAAAAGGAAGTATGAGTCTTTATCAGTCCTAATCGGAAATTTTTGTAAATTATTAAAGAAACATGCTAAACATTTATTTTTAGAAATGGAAGAAAACAAGAAAAAACTGAAATGATCGCAAAATATTACTTATACTACAAAAACTTTTTTACTTAAAAAGAACTGGTTACTCAGTGCAATGTAGTATGACTGACAAATGATACAAAAGCAGAGATTTCCTAAATTCCTTTAGTAACAACAGACGAACAAATTTTATCTCATTTAACGAATTATTTACTTTAAGTTCTGTTAGGCTTTAATTATGATTAGTTTAATCGTACTCGACTCAGTCCACCCATCTCATTCAACAAAAAAAAAATCTGATCTGCTTGCGAAAAACGTTGTTAATTAATTAATTAATTAGCTTTAGTTAATTAGTTAGCCACTATATCAGCAAAAGTGAAAATTATTTTTAAACGCTGAAATTAATTCGAAAGCGCTGAATTTAATCTGGTAGCAGATTACGTTTCAAACATCAAAAAGTATCTCTGTGGGGAGAAAGCATTTCCATATGAAATAGTTTCTTTGAAAAAAAATTTGTTTCTAAAAATGTATATTATTGAGAGGAAGAAAGTTTTTAATTGCTTCTTTCCAGTACGCTCCAATAAACTATATTTCATAATTATCTTCTCCGCTTTTTTCTCTTATGAAATAGTCAAATTCCTTTTCGATGAATTAAGACGAATTATTTGATTTCAATTCTATATCACCAACACATAAATGTATTTATTAAAACTTGAAATTGAACTAAAAATTTTTGTGTGAACATTAAAGTTTTAAAATCAAATTAATTAATTCAATCTTCTAAAAATACTTTTAAAACATAGTGAAAAGCTTGTTTACTTGCATTAGTTTAGAGAATATTCGAAATTATTTATATATTTGCCGCTTATTTCAATTAATTTTAACGACTCTGATCATAGAATTCTAAAATGTTGTTATAAAAGACAAAATAGCGACTACCCTTTAACGATATAGTGCTTTAATGGCGAAACAGTAATTTTGATAAATCAGCACATGAAGTGGAGTGAACTAGTTGAGCAGCTCAGATAGAACGAGCAATTTTTTTTGGCAAAGAAGGAATCCGTGATTTACCCTGGCTCATTGATTTAATGAGGAAGGGAGCCTTAATTTCTGCATAAGGTGACCTCCTTATCCTCCAGTTCTCATTAGCATTCATTTTTTTCCGTTTGCCGGCAATAAAGCACCTTTTTGCTAGAGATATGAAAAGTATGAAATCAGAGCATATTTTAGCATAGCTCTAATAGTTTTCTAAAGAAACTGATAAAACCAAGTAAAAGAAATTTAATAAAAAACAATCGATGATTGCTGGTCCACCATATGTTCATCTTCATACTATCGTTCCCAATGAAAATGTAAATTATTAGTCGAAATACATCAACTATATCGACACCCTCCTCTTCTTTTGGTCATTTCTGGTTTGGTTCCACAGGCTTCTTGGTGATAGAACTAGATGTCCATCTTCACTCGGATTTCTCTTTCAGTAGCAGAACCATACTCGTCAAAAAACATAAATCTAACCCATAATGATGTCGTGCGAAGCAAAAACAAATTGAACTCAATAGCTGATCTAAAATCTATCTCAAATAATAAAATAATTTATATATTTATTTCAGAAAATATAGTTTAGATTGCATAGCTTTCGCAAAACACTTCCGTAGAGCCTGAAAGGCAAAAACAGCCTAATTTTCAAAGAAAATTAATTGCATTCCTCAAAAATACAGGCATTTTCTTGCTCTATATGACCCTAATATTATCATTTTCTCGAACGAATGTTTTTCGATAAATTTTTTCATGAAGATTTTGAAAGGGTATTTATTTAGCTGATCAGTGCTGCCGTCTTCTTTTTTTATTTAAATATACAAGTTTTTAAATACCTATTTTATTTTTCGTTAGAATTTTTTCGACGGGAGAAAATATATAATATCGTTAAATAACTCGAGAGTCAACGGAAGTTCTAATTTCTAAGTGGCTCACTGGCAGAAATAATAGTGAATGGAACTGCTTAACCAGAAAGGAATACTTAAATTTACAATTTAAAGATTTCTTGTTGCGAAAAAAAGCTGAGATTTTTTAGGAAAACTATTAATAATAAACATAAAATAAAAATTTTGTTCTGAGACCTTTCAAAGAGAAATTTCGAAAAAAAAACTCAAATTTCATAATGAATTTCATAATGATGTGAAATATTCACTCAAAAAATTTCTAATTTTTAATTAACGGCAGCGATATGACGATGAAAAAAAAATATAAGGATTTTTTCATTGAATCCTCAATAATGACAGAAAAATGCGAAGAGATTTCCAATTTTATATGAAATTATTAATAATTTAACTATTGACAAAGTGTAAGGCATTGAACGCAAGAAATCCATTTTAAAAGATATAATTCTCGAGGGAGATTCATCTTTTATTAGTTCGCTTTATTTTCTCTCACAATGCGCAAAGAAGCATAAGAATTCACAAAATATAGCAAATCAACATCTAAGGAATTTAAATATTTCATTCACAAAGTATTATTATATAATAAAATTCTATTTCTATCTCTTTAAATTCTATAATCCTGCAATGGTTCCGCAATATTTATCAAGAATTTATCAATTTGTCATCAAATTTATTTTAAAAACAGTGGGACGAAATTTCCTTGCAAACTACGACGATTCTTGTGGCAAATGCAGTCTCATCTTTTCATTAGATTTTCTATAACGATCACATTACTCCCGTATAGTAATTTAATCCATTGAAACACAAAATATAAAACATCTCAGAAACGGACAAAGCTAAATTATTGTTTGGCGGTGTTTATGCATAATTTAACAACGTATATATAAGCTGATTAATAATTTCAATTCATTGATCTGTTTGCTATAATTTGTGGTTCTTTTATTTTTTAATCTATGTCTTTCTGTTCTTCATTTATATTTATTGTTCCAACACCAACATATGGCGCCACTTTCTTTACATAAATAAATATGAATGCAACAAACTGCTTAACGTGAGAAAACTTCACTTTTCATTCTTAACAACAATCCATCAAGTTATAAACTGTATGTAACAAATGATTTATCCATTGGAGCCAATTTTACGCCTGTGAGAGACGACCATCACCTATCGTATTTAAAAGGAAACGTGAAGTTCTAATTGCAAATTTCATAAAAACTTCGAGAAATTTGAAAATAATATGAATAATAATTCATAATAGAAATAATTCTTTTGTGCTGTTATGTCGAACTCAAAATGAAAAATATCAGTAAAATAATAACGTTATGAAATTATCTGATCAGGCAAATCTCATATATCTGGGAATCTCAACAAAAAACAATATATGAGACGATATTTCTTTTTCTTCTATTTCTTCTGCTCATCCTAAATCTTCATTTTTCCTTCACTTCATAGTAATCTTTCCAGATAATTTCCTAATGAAACTCATTTTTTTTGGTAATTAACTTTAATTTTAATTTCAATTTCCATTTGAAAATTTCCTTATAATGATAACATTCATTTGTTTTCAAAAAGCCTTAATCCTTAAATAATACCAAATTCACTTGCTTAAATCTTAAAAAGATGCGAGAAAAACGAGGAAAAATATTAAAAAGGATAAATAAATGATAAACGATAGAAGATTCCCAATGCGATAAGTTTAGATAAATAAAAATGAACGAAATTTGTTCTACTGATGAAAAAGAAAAAAGAATGCTAAAAAATAGAAAAAAACCGAAAATAGAATTTAAAAAAGTAATGAACATACCAAAAGAACAAAACAAATAAATATAAACTTTCCATTCTCTTAATTTTCTTAATTTCTTGATATAACGACAAAGAAACGTTTTGAAGCGCCAAACGATCGACACTTAAGTTATTTCAACAGTAAAAAATAGAAAAAAGCGAGATTAAAAGAATGTTTTCGTCTTAATTTTTGTTAAAAGCGCCTCGCAATGAACAATAAATTATTTATTAAAATAAATAACAAAAAAGAAAAGTAAAAATCGAGAAAAAGCAGAAGAGTATTTCGCAAATTTTTTCGATAGATTTAATCTTCAATTGCCTTTTCACGTTTTAGGCAGTTTATTTGGCCAATAATTATTTTGTAAAATCTTGGAGGATAGTTCGGTGGATTTGTTCCGAAAATTGAAAAGGTGAATCATGAAGATTTATTTGAAAAAGTTTTGGTTCTATTTGGAACTGTTTCTAAAGAAATATTTTAAAAAATGCAAGGGAAAAATAGTCGAAAATAGAAAAGAGGTAAGCCAAGATCTATTCTATGATGATAACATTCGAAGACAATTTTTTATACTCAACACGTCTCAATTATAAAATCATAAATTTAGAAACATTAAAATTTCGGTTGAGGGCGAGTGATAATTGATATATCTTCAAGCTTTCTTTGTGTTTTATCAAATCTACAGGTATTCATTTTCAAATGTTAAACATTAAATATTTTAATGTGAGGATTTCAATGAGGTAAATAGCGGTCTATTAAACTCCCTAAATGATATGAGAATTGGAATATTCTATTTCTTCTTAAAAAATAAAAAATAAAACTAATAAAATTGATGGGAAGAATATCTTCAGAGATGCAAAAAACAAATGCAAAAAATAGACAATAGGCAACATTGGGATAAAGACTAACTGATCATCTCAGAATCAGAATCATCGTTGATACAACGATTATCGTCAAGGCACGATTCAGGATCAGATGCCATACTACCAGCTACAGATGGACTTGCTCGGCCAGTTACAGAATTCCAGTGATGTGGAACTGTGAGTTGGTTATTAACTGAATCTGGTCGAATTATGTGATGGCAATCTGCAAATAATGATTCAAATTTAATAAATTATAAATTATGAATAATAAATAAATTTGGCGAAATAAAAGAATTATTTATAAGTAATAAATTGATTTTTTGCCACTTTTTTTAAGATTCTTTTTTCACAATTTTACAAAATCTAATACATTTCAAGAAATTTTTTTCATAGGTTGTCAGATTAAATTAAATCTTTGTCAATCAAGGTAGCAATATTCAACTATTCGATAGACTGGATAATGGACTTCACTTATCAGCACTCAAAAGGTATACAAATTAGTCCAGCGTACAGTATCACAAACCTTGAATACGCTGGAGATGTCCTTTTCGCTGACAGTTATAATGAAATGCAAAGAATATTAAACAATGTGTCTGTCAACAAGTGTAGCTAAAATGAACTCAAAATCAATGTAAATAAAACGAAAGTGTTTTCGTCTTATATAGAAAAAGTTGATAAAATACCTATTTTTATCAATTCACTGTGAATTGAAGTGCCAGACAAATATCTTAGAACTGTTCTAATCCCAAAAGGCGAGATAAAAGACGAAATTAACCCGGATAACAATGGCCAGAAATGCATTTTTCAGGTTGTCGAAACCATTGTGGAATCATCACAAAATTGCTATAAAGATGAAAGCTCGCTTCTATATGGTTTCAATTCGCTTAATCTTGTTATATGATTGGTATATGATTTAAGAGTGGACGATATTAAGATGTTATCTTCCTTTGACCACTCAAGATACATTTTGCGGAATAACCGGGCGAATAAAATCGCTCACATTTGATCACATCCATCTTCGTTCAAATACCACTTGCATTAACAGTACAATCACAGAGCGTCGCCTTCACCTGTTAGAATATATTTTTCGTTGTATACCACAGGAATTGGCATGTATTTCGTTTTTGTGATAGATGGCGTCAAAACCGATGAGGGCCAATCAAAACGTGGACTAATGCAAGAAAGATTTTGAACATATAAGTGAACCAGTGATATGGACTTAGACGATGGAAAAAGGAATGGTTTCTAATACAATGATGAAGTCAAATTGAACAGCTTGGAAATAACCAGCAGAGCCAACCTAATTAGTAATGTGAGAGTTGTTAGAATAAAGGCAGCATCGAGTGATGACCTGAAAACATCGCCAAGTGACTCTGAACGCTTCTCATATCAGCTATCATAAATCCAACTAAAGAAATGTTGGGAGATGAACAATAAAAAGTAATGCCTCATATTCGCGTTATTATTCTTTCGAATATTAGTCGAATACTAGAAAAAGATAACGCGAAAAACTTGTTTAAACTAGGATGAGTTATAAATTAAATTGATTAGATTTGAATTAAAAATCCATAAATTCCTCCGAAAAAAAAATTACTTTATGTGTTACATGAAATAAAAACAGAAGAATTCATTTAGAAATGGGATGAAAGAAATATATTATTCAGTAAATAAAAATATAATTTTGTGAGTTTTGAGGCAAAATCGAAACCGAATTCTTAAGTTATTTTGAAACGTCCTGACGTTTCGTGAATTAATTTCAGTTCGTCTTCATCGGATAATTTTTAGAAAGTTAGAATATTTTCAGGTGGGCCCTTAAAAATGAATCGCAAACAAGATTTTCTTTAGCTTCATTTTTTAAGCCTATTTTCGATATCGTTGTCGTAAAATTTTAAAACACGAACTTTTTTCATAAAATAAAACTTGCTAGTTCTTCTAAAAATGGTTTTGAATAATAAAAAAGCAATTTTTGCTAGAAAACTGGTGATAAGCAAATAAATCAATTAAAATGATAGTTAATTAGATTTAATTTTGCAGGATAAGATTTACTGGCATTTCATTGTACAAATTCCAAGAAATCTGTGATTCGGTTGCAAAAACTATACGAAATGAGTAAGAATTTAGTAGAGAAAATTTTTTGTAAAATTTAAGTCAAATAAATATTTGAAGATTAAATTGATATGAGAAATGACTAATTGAATCAAATAGTTCAAGATAGTTTTTATCACTTTTATCACAAGATTTAAAGCCAAAAATGATAGCTTTGCATTTACAAAACACCATTTATAAGCTAGAAAGGACAAAAAATGCCGATGCCATAAAAATAATCGAATAAAATGTTCACTGAACGGATGATTAAGACATTATATGGGCAGCAAAAATGCAGACTAGGAAATAGTTGGTTTTAAAATATCGTGGAAATGATTAAAGCTATCAATCAGCACTGTTTCTATCATATTCTAAACGACTAAATTGGTCGATAAAAGGGCTCAAGATCGATACATGGATTTAAAATGCTGTGAATTTTCTTTTCAGATTTATGAACTAAAAAAGGTTTTTTGATGTTTCTGTGTAGATAATCATTGAATCCATTTTCTTAAAAACTGGCATTTGGCAATATCACTTCTGCGTCTTTTTAAATTAAATATACCACGTTATATTAAAACTGCTGACGAGGAATACCGTAGACCGTGGACTGTGAGATATTGCCTTGATTACCACTTCAAGAACCATAGTTCTTGTCTGGAAATAGCAAAAAGTGGTCAGTGGATCACTCATATTAAATCAAAGTATAGCTTGTCAGGATTAGTACTTAATGCACTTATCATGAATTGCTTTATCCTACAGCCGTCTCACTATCAGCTTATCTAATCCATCCTATCACATATTCCTCTAATTTTTTTAAAAGAATTTTCAAAGAATTTTTTTCACCATCTTTGTTGCATTTATTTTTTATATTACTGTTTTCTAGTTGAAACAGGAGAATTGCAAATTTTGATTCGAATATTGAATTTCTTTCTTGAATAAAAATACCTGAAAGCTAGAAAATTAACGTCTTTTACCGAATGACAGAAAACTTGTTATCTTCTATCACAAAACATTTTTTAGCCATGAGCGCGTAATATTAACATTAATTGACTAGTAGGGTCGAATTGATCTATTATTTTGATAGAAAAATACTGAGAAAGCAGATAAAAATGTAAAAACCCAATTAATTAGGTAATTTTTTATATTTCAAGTCGCCTTCATACATTTTCTAGAAAAAAAATTTATTCAATGGATATGAGCTAGAATAATTTTAATTTTTTCATTAAATTTTGGAGAAATTTTTTATCATCGTTTTCTGAAAAGAAAAATCATGTTTAATGATGTGGAAAATTTTTATAGCCCAACATAAATTAAATTTCGATCAAGCTACTGATATTTCATTTATATTGGAACTTATATTTTCAAACTGAATTTATAATAACTTGAATTAGTAAATGATAAATTAAATCCATTTTTTTTCACAAATTATGGAAAACAGTTTCCAAAATAAAATCAGCTAGCTTTTTAGATAATCTGGCAATTACTTAATGAAGCCTTTTCAAGGAAGAACGAATCAAAAGGATATCACATATTACTAACTTATCTTAAAAATTACTGGCTAATAATAATTGCATCTACTTATAAATCTTATTTAGAAGAGGTTAAATTTGAAGAAAAAATTTTTAAAAAACATTAGAACAAAAGTATTATTTCAGTTATCCCAATTTCTTCCTATTGAACAGAACATATATTTAAAACTAAATGAACTTGATTTGCATAAGTTTACTGTCACGTCAATAACGACGTTCTTTAAACTAACAGATGATTCAAATTTCTTAACGCTTAGTTCGCCAATCTCTGCAAGTAATATTCTTTTCACTTTCCAGAAAATTTGAGAATATATTGGAATAGATCATCAAAATTAATAATCCAAAAAAAGCACCATAGCTAATTTGCTAAATGAATTGTTGAGCTGTACCAAAACTTTCAACAACACGTATTATACAGAACAGATTTGTTGAAGCTACTATTATATCTTGGCCTACCGTGTAATTCAACTATATCTAAATGCTGCAAAACGATTAAAATATTCATAACCAATAATGAAAAGAACAATTGAACTTTTAAGCTTTGTTCTCCCATATTACAGAAAAAAATGTAGGGATATCTTCCATATGAAATGTGAAATGTGATTAAATTTCACATAACAACTAATCCAAATCCTCAAGGAGCTTTCGATAAAAAAACAAGTTGAGAGGAAAAACATCGAATTCATCAATCATGTATTTCAAGAGAGTCGAAAAATCAAATGGCCGTCAAAAGAACCATCTTAACGATCAAATATGGATTCTATCCATATTTTTATTGAAAATATAGCTCGTTCCTTATTTTGATTCTGCTAAATATATATCAAAGTGAATTAAAAATATTTGTTAATTGTCCATTAAATTACTCACACCTTCTTATAGTTAATTAAACTGATCAAATTTCAGCTCTTTGCTAACAGCGAATTCTTTCCTGAGACTAAGCATATTTTTTCATATTTGTTGGACAATAATTATTATAGACCATCATTCCCATAATTTTCCTTCATTTGTCACTTTTAATTTGATTAAATTTGTAATTTACAATTTTCTTACGAATTTATTTCATGAGCATTGAAACATTTATATTAAATTCTAGCTAACATTCTAACATTTGTCGAAGTTTGGTTCAGTGCTAAATCTTTGAAGTTTGCGACCTCGATGATGCGAAGTTGTCGAACTGGCCGAACGAATTGTACTGCGTCTTTTTTTATGTTGTTTTCTCGGCAAATTTATGGAAGCATACAATGTGGTATTACTTGTATCACCATCTAAAACAGAACTAAACGATTTATTTCAAAAACAACGCCTTTCATCTAAAATAGCGATTATTCTCGGACAACCTGAAATAATTATTTTTAAAAAATCAATCTGAATCTGGAAGATGATTATGTCGCATTTTGTGGCACTGATCCAATCATTAATAGTTTGCTTCTTGTCAGCTGTCAATCTATCAATGGAAATGAAATGAACCAACAATGAATTAGGAATCGAATAAATTTGCACACCCATTTCATCACCTTACAAGGATTTCTTATCCTAATGGATAGCGAAGCCAATTGCACCGGAAATTATAATTACTTTTGAAAGATGAAATTTTTAAAATTAGAAATTCTTTTCTCAAATTTCTGTGCGACACTGGGCATCCAGATATAAATCCCTAGCAGGCATTTATTATAAATTACTTTTTTTAAAATTAGATTGTTTCCACAAAAATATCAAAATTTTTCCTTAAAACTTCTGCCAATTTTTTAGTGGATAAACTGAGTTATAGCTGAAGTGGGAAGGATTAAATTAAATCGATTAACTGCAATTAAGCCTAATTTTTTCTGTTTCTCCACTGAAATGCAAATGAAAATTTGCAAGTTACAATTTTTTTCATTGCACTTCAATAGCTTCGAAAAACATACTTGACTGATCACTGCAAGTGGACATCATACTAGAGGTCGCTTGTTCGAATTCAAAAGTTGGAGTCACACTGAAGCGCACAGTTGGACACAATGTCTGCAAGCATTCTTCAGTTAGCTTAATTACCATTACTTATGGAAGATGAAAAATCGGTAGTCATTAGACGACTGAAGCGTTGGTTTCGCTATTCTCTATTAGTGATTACCTTGATGTTTTATCTTTAAAACATAGAAGTTCAATTTAACAAATACCAGTTTTTCGAATATTGGGAATACAACTTATTACGAATTTACAAGAATATTTTATTGTCTATGCTCCATTTTATTTCGCGTAACTTCGAAAACTATTTAATAATCGGATTATTATTCATTTATTTTTGATGATCGAATAAGAATTAGGAGAATTATTTTCTTGTTAAATCTGAAGAAAATCGTTTGTGGCATTAATCATGCGAAAAAAGTAATGCTTAGTTGCCGATAAAAAATAAAAAATGCAAATGCTCTCTAGTATTTAAAATATTCAAAAATCAGTCAAGCAGAAAAAAACTTTGAAAAAATTTGGTTAAAATATTAAATATTACTCTTCCAATTTAAGTCATAACAAAAAAAATCGATTGTTGCCTCAATAAGAAAGGATTTTTTTTACGGAATTTGATTTTCATAATTCTCTGGTCCACGCTTATCAGCAGTAGTAAGTAACTGGTCGTCGTCCATTTCTGGTTACGATAATTCTGCTGGCTGTCGTTCATTATCAGTTACAGAACAAGTCAAAAATAGTAAACTATGCAAAGATTATTGATATGTATCGATATGATGCTAAAATCTTATAATCGATTTTAAATTTTTTCGCTCTCTTCGTGTTTTTAAATTCACTATGCATAATTC